CTCTGTTGGTGTGTCTTCCTGGGGTCAGTCCTCACGTTTGGCTTCCAAGAAGCCTTTATCAAATTATTTGTGCCTCAAGAGCCTTAATTTTAGCTGGCATAATGGTCACCATCGCAGATAGGTAGACTGAGGCCCAGAGAGAGGCTTCGTGAAGGAAGGAAGGTCACATGGCAACGGAGGCAGCACTGTAAGGTGAGTGGGTGGTAAGTGTTAGTGGAAGGTTTTTGTTGTTGTTTGAGGCAGACTGATCATGGCTCACTGCCTCCTTGAACTTCTGGACTCAAGCCATCCACCCGCCTTGGCCTCCCAAAGTACTGGGATTATAGGTGTGAGCCACCACACATGGCCTTGATTTTGCTTAGGTTGCGGTGGTGGACCCTGGGTGAGGGTAGGGTTGCAGTGGGGTGGAGGAGGAGGTGATACACCTGACTGCCGCATCTAGATTCATCCTCGTCTTTTTTTTTTTTTTTTTTTGCACCAACTGGCAGAATTTCCTCACTTTCTCTCTCTGCCTCCTTTTCTGATTCACTCTCCATCTGTTAGTGGCTTCTGGCTTCTGAGAATGTGGATGCAGAAGGGTGGGGTAAGCTGTCGGGGGTGGGGAAGTAGATACAAAAACACAGGCAGTCCTTAATAGACTTTTAAATATTTTTTGAGTGCTCTCTAGATACCAAGCAATGTTCTAGGAGCTAGGGGAGTCCCACCATGAATAAAATCGACTTTGTCCCTGCTCTCATAGAGGTTCCATTACAGGATATATATGTATGGAGGGGAGGGGCGTAGGCTGTAGATACAGATGGGGACAATGTCAGAAATGGGTAAGGGCTATAAAGGAGATGAGAGTATCTGGAGAGGGGTCATGACTTGAGACAATGAGAACAGGGAAGACCAGGCTGAGGAACTGGGATCTGGGGGATGGGAAGGAGGCAGCTGAAGATCCAGAGGAACAGGGTGCCTGCCCTGGTGAAACGGTATAGGGAAAGGCTGTGAAATCCATGTGCTGGAGGAACTTTAAGAAGGCCAGTGTGGCTCAACCACAGTGACACAAAGAAAGCAAGTCAAGGCCCAGCATGGTGGCTCACATCTGTAATCCCAGCACTTTGGGAGGCTGAGGTGGGTGGATCACCTGAGGTCAGGAGTTCGAGACCAGCCTGACCAATGTGGTGAAGCCCTGTCTCTACTAAAAATACAAAACTTAGCCAGGCATGGTGACACGTGCCTGTATTCCCAGCTACTTGGGAGAATGAGGTGGGAGAATCACGTGATACTGGGAGGCAGAGGTTGCAGTGAACTGAGATTGCACCACTGCACTCTAGTCTGGGTGACAGAGTAAGACAGTCTCAAAAAAAAAAAGTAAGTCAAGAGAGGATCCCAGTGCCAGCTGTAGACCATGATGGGGAGTTCACAATCAATTTTTCTTTTTTTGAGCCAGAGTCTTGCTCTGTCGCCAGGCTAGAGTGCAATGGCACGATCTTGGCTCACTGTAATCTCTGCCTCCAGCAAGTGATTCTTCTGCCTTGGCCTCCTGAGTGGGACTACAGATGCATGCCACCACGCCCAGGTAATTTTTGTATTTTTAGTAGAGATGGGGTTTCACCATGTTGGCCAGGATGGTCTCCATCTCTTGACCTCATGATCCGCCCGCCTCGGTCTCCCAAAGTGCTGGGATTACAGGCATGAGCCACTGTGCCTGGCCACAATCAATTTTTTTTCTAGGGGGATAGGAGGAATTAATAGAAGAATTAAGAATGAAGACTCAAAGGCAGCAAGACAGGAAGCAGGGAGACCAATTAGAAGGCTTTGGCTGTGACAGAGGCAGGAGATGATGATCTGGACCAAGTCGGGGTTAGAGAAGAGGTAATATTCTAGGGGTCTTTGGGAGATGACTGAGAAATGAGGGCAACATTCCCTAGGTGGAGGACACCAGGAGAGAAGCAGGTTTGTTGGAGACATGTAAGGGGAGGTGGGGAGAGAAACCAATTCAGTTGTGGGCATATAGAGTATGGAGAGTCGGTGGACAGCCAGAGATACTGTTCCAAGCTGGAGGAGAGACCAGATGATGCTTGAAGTTGTTTTTTTTTTTTTTTTTTTTTTTTTCCATTTATTTATTTTATTGCATTTTAGGTTTTGGGGTACATGTGAAGAACATGCAAGATTGTTGCATAGGTACACACGTGGCAGTGTGATTTGCTGCCTTCCTCCCCATGAAGTTTTTGTCTTTTAAAAAATCAGTTGCCAGGAGCAGTGGCTTATGCCTGTAATCCCAGCACTTTGGGAGGCTGAGGCGGATGGCTCACCTGAGGTTAAGAGTTCAAGACCAGCCTGGCCAACACGATGAAACCCCATCTCTGCTAAAAATACAGAAATTAGCCAGGCATGATGGTGGGCACCTGTAATCCCACATGCTTGGGCGGCTGAGGCAGGAGAATCGCTTGAACTTGGGAGGCAGAGGTTGCAATCAGCGGAGATGACGCCACTGCACTCCAGCCTGGGTGACAAGAGTGTGACTCTGTCTCAAAAAAAAAAAAAATTAGTTATAGGCCAGGCACGGTGGCTCATGCCTGTAATCCCAGCATTGCGGGAGGCTGAGGTGGGTGGGTCACTTGAGGTCATGAGTTTGAGACCAGCCTGTCCAATACAGTATCTCTACTAAAAATACAAAAATTAGCCAGGGATGGCAGTGCATGCCTATAATCCCAGCTACTTGGGAGGCTGAGGCAGGAGAATCCCTTGAACTCAGAAGGTGGAGGTTGCAGTGAGCTGAGATTGTGGGCCACTGCACTCCAGCTTGGGCAACAGAGCAAGACTCTATCTCAAAAAAAAGAAAGAAAAAGTTATCATCCAGGCATGGTGGCTCTCGCCTGTAATCCCAGCACTTTGGGATGCTGAACTGGGTGGATCCCTTGAGCTCAGAAATTTGAGACCAGCCTTGATAAATTCCATCTCTACGAAAAATACAAAAAAAGCTAGACATGGTTGTGCAAGCCTGTTGTCCCAGCTACTTAGGAGGTCAAGGTTGGAGGATCACTTGCGCCCGGAAGGTTGAGGATGTGATGAGCTGAGATTGCGCCACTGCACTCCAGCCTGGTTGATAGTGAGACTCTGTCCCAAAAAATAACTAAATAAAAATAAATGGCCGAGCGCGGTGGCTCATGCCTGTAAGCCCAGCACTTTGGGAGGCCGAGACGAGCGAATTATGAGATGAAGGCATCGAGACTATCCTGACCAACATGGTGAAACCCTGTCACTAGTAAAAATACAAAAATTAGCTGGGTGTGATGGCACGCACCTTTAGTTCCAGCTACTTTTGAGGAGGCTGCGGCAGAAGAATCACTTGAACCCAGAGGGCAGAGGTTGCAGTAAGCCGCGATCGCACCACTGCACTCCAGCCTGGTGACAGAGTGAGACTCCCTCTCAAAATAAATAAATAAATAAATAAATAAATACAGTGGCTCACACCTGTAATTCTAGGACTTTGGGAGGCCAAGGCAGGAGGATTGCTTGAGACCAGTGTGGGCAACATGGAGAAACCCCATCTCTACTAAAAATACACGAATTAGCCAGGTATGGTGGCTCCTGCTTGTGGTCCCAGGTACTCGGGAGGCTGAGTGAGGCAGGAAGATTGCTTGAGCACAGGAGGCCAGGGTTGCAGTGAGCCGAGATCCTGCCCCTGCACTCAGCCTGGGAGATCAAGTGAGACCCTGTTAAAAAAGAGAAAAAAGAAAAGAGAAAAGTAAAGAAAAGAGAAGAAAAGAAAAAAGAAAAACCTACTTAGTAGGGTTGCTGTGAGGGTTACACAAAACAAAAGCATCTTCACCAAGCCTTAGGCCATAGAAAGGTCTTTCGTTTGTTTGTTTGTTTTTTGAGTTGGAGTCTCATTCTTGCCTAGGCTGGAGTGCAGTGGCCTGATCTCTGCTCACTGCAACCTCCATCTCCTGGGTTGAAGTGATTCTCCTGGCTCAACCTCCCAAGTAGCTGGGATTACCGGCCTGCTACCACCCTTGGTCATGGCCTCAAGTGAGCCACACTCGGCCATAGAAAGGTCTTAATAAAGCTGGGCGCAGTGGCTCGCCTGTAATCCCAGCACTTTGGGAGGCCGAGACGGGCGGATCACGAGGTCAGGAGATAGAGACCATCTTGGCCACCGTGGTGAAACTCTGTCTCTACTGAAAAAAAAAAATTGGCCGGGCATGGTGGCACGCGCCTGTAGTCCCAGCTACTTGGGAGGCTGAGGTCGGAGAATTGCTTAAACCCGGGAGGCAGAGGTTGTAGTGAGCCGAGATCGCGCCACTGCATTCCAGCCTGGCAACAGAGCAATACTCCCTCTCAAAAAAAAAGAAAAAATAAAGGACTTAATACGTGTTAATTGCTATTACTGACCCCAGGAACTCTCCGAAGCACTTTTCATGCAGGTATCACCTTTTTTTTTTTAGCACTTACATTATGCCTTATGGGAAACAGCAGCTTAGAGTTGTCAGGAAATTCCTCCAGAGTCGCTTACATTTCCAGCAGGGGAGTCAAGACTTGAACCTAGCAACTCACAAGCAGAAAAAGCTTGGCAAACAGGCATGGGTTAGATAATGCTTAGGGCTTGCTCAAGGACTCGTGACCAGTTACTGATCTATGCAAATCTTCTGATTGCAAATTGATAGGTGGATTGTAACTTGAAAGGTCTGATAAGATGTAAACTTCATAAAACAGGATTTGGGAAGTAAAAGGCGTAGAGTCCTCCAGAGGAGTCGAGAAAGCTAGCTTGGCCTCGATTGTGGATGAGGTGATTCTTCCATTTAGGCGTTATTTTCCTCATCTATGAGTGCGGGAAGGAGAGTTATTGGGGTCTCTAGCGACCTTTCCAACACTGATTTTCAAGGGTGGAAGAATCCTGCTCAGGTAAAGGCCCAAATCCCTTGGCTAAGGTTAATCCTCGGTGGGGCCGCCAATAGGGACGCGTCCCCTTTAAGGCGCCAGCTCGCCAGCGGCGGCGGCCGGAAGTGTTGAAGCCCGGCCTGGCGGCGGCGGTGGCGGTAGCTGCCGTGGCGGCCTCTGCGCATGCTCCGTCGCCCGCCCGCCCTGGCTGCTCGCCGCCCGCCCGCCCGACGGAGACGGTGAGGAGGGGGAGGGGTGGGCGCGCGGGCGCGGGCGCGGGGTGGGGGGGGGGGTGGGGGCGGGGGGGCGGGCGCGGGGGCCGCGCGGCGGCCGGCGAGGGCGGGCGGGCGCGCAGGGGGCGGGGGGCTGCTGCCTCCGCGGGCGCCTCCCCACGCCCTGTGCGTGCCGCCGCCGCCGCCGGGGAGCGAGCGGACGTCGCGGCGCCGCGGGGGGGTGGGGGGACGCTGCCGCTGGGTCCGCCCGAGCAGCCGGGCCGCCCCCAGCGCAGCCGGCCGTGCTGCCGGGGCTCGGGCCCCAGGCCAGGGCGGCGGGAACCGGCAAGCCCAGCACGGGGGGGGGGGCCCCGGCGCCCCCGGACCGAGGGGCCCGGAAGTACTCGGCTGAGGGGCCAGGAGTGGCCGGAGTGACTCCGGACTGAGAGGCCGGAGCGCCCAGGACCCCAACGAGGGGTCCAGGGAGCCTGGGGTATCTCCAAAGGCGGGGTCCAGGGAGCACCGGGCCTTTGGCTGAGGATCTGGTTAGAGGCCTGGGTCCCGCCCGGTGGGAGGGGGACGATAGGTGAGGGAAGCCCGAATGCCAGCCTGGGAGGAGACCCTCTGGGAGGTTTGGCCGGGGAGCAAAGAGTACGGAGTGGGTTCTTCTGAGGAAAGCAGAGTCCAGCTTCTTCCGAGGGGCGCAGTGGGGGCCTCGGCCATTCAGAACAAGGGGAAAAAAAGGCAGGTTCTTTTCCAAAAGCAGGGAAGGAAGAGGAGCTCCAAGGGGAAGTGAGCAGGCCCAGGTCTCCCTACAGATGAGCGTGTGGTGGGAAGACTCCTAGAGCCTCCTGAAGTATGAAAGAGCAGGGGTCCAAACCTGAGGGGATGGAAGAGACTGGAGTACCTCCTGATGTCTAAGTGGAGAACAGAGTAACCTGCCAGCTCAGGGGATGGAGAAACCTATCTTTTTGAGAGAAGTAGAGATCGTTGAGGGAAGACGCTTAGGGTTTTCCCGCCTTCTGAAATGGCAGGGGAACCGGCCAGGTGTTACCTAATTGAGGGGCAGGATAGATGAAGGCAGTCTCAACCCGAGGGACTTGAAGGATGATCCACCAGACATGTGAGCGAAACCTTGACCTAGACAGCAGAGCAAGCACAGCCCTAAATTCTCTTCAAGATAAGAGAAGTCTCAAAACCACTTCCTAGTAGACGCAGATGGGGCCTTGACTGGTGTCTATTCAGGCGAATCAAGACGGGTTTTAGGAAGAGACTGTCAGATATGATTCTAGTCTTGAGGGATTGTCTTCTTCCCCCTTGCCTCTGCTACTAGTTACCAAAGTGCATTTGGGGAACCTTTTCCAATGGTTGTACTGTCTTCTAATTTGAGAGCCTTAAATCAAGGATGTATATTTAATATCTTAAATGATGATTTTTTTTGAGGCGGGGGTTCCTGTTTACTTCAGCAAACACATTGAATAGGTAGCTCCTACTCAGCTTCGTTGGGTTTATCGGAGGGGGGCGTATTTTGGTCTTGCCCTAAGCCAAAGTCCACTGTACTGTAGCGGGATGACTCTCATAAGAACATCCCATCGCTCCCTCAAACATTCACATAGTAGTCTCCAGTCTGTGACTTAGAACTTCACCTCGTCTGAGTACTTCTCTCAATGTTTTTGTGTAATTGACTTGTTGACTAAATTACATCTTGCATTCTGGATCTCTCACTGGATACATGAGAAGAAATAAAGGGGATATCAAGGAGTTTTAGCCTCAAGTAATAAAGTTTTAACTTCGATTTTTCCCCCCCTTATTTTAAACAAAACCATAGTTTAAAGTGGAAATTTCTTATTTCTTTTTCTTTTTGGGAAAAGAGTTTCCCTTTGTCGCCTAGGCGGGAGTGCAGTGAGTGGTGCGATCTCGGCTCACTGCAAACTTGATACTCTTCAGCCTCCTCAGTGGCTGGGACTACAGGCCCGTGGCACCGAGCCCGCCTAATTTTGTTTGTTTTCGGGCGGGTGCTGTGAGCGGCCTCCTCGGCCTTTCCTCAGCTCGAGTTCTAGACCAGCTTGGGCAACATGGTGAAACCCCATCTCTACAAAAAATAACAAAAATTAGTCAGGTGTGGTGGCTCTGCTGTTGGTCCCAGCTACTCAAGGAGGCGGGAGGATCGCTTGAGCCCCGGAAGTTGAGGTTGCAGTGAGCCGAGTGTGCCAGCATTCTCCAGCCTGGGTGGCAGAGTGAGACTTACGTCTCACCAAAAAACTACACAGTCTACAAAAGTTATAATAGAGTGTGGAATAAAATATTGTGGGCCAATCGCGGTAGCTTAGCATGGCGGCAGACGCCTGTAAACCCACTTACTTGGGAGGCTGAGGCAGGAGAATCGCTTCAACCCAGGAGGCGGAAGTTGCAGTGAACTGAGACCGTGCCGTTGCATTCCAGCCTGGGCAACAAGACCGAAACTCTGTCTCAAAAAAATATTAAATAAATATTTTGGAGTTAGAAAATTTCAGGATATCTCGTACCTATTATTCATTTTTATTTTTTAGCCTCCAGAAAGTGCCAATATTATTTCTTTCTTTTTTTTTTTTTTTATATATTTTGAGACAGAGGCTTGCTTTGTTGCCAGGCTGGAGTGCAGTGGTGCAATCTCACCTCGCTGTAAACTCCGCCTCCCATGTTCAAGCCATTCTTCTGCCGCAGCCTCCAGAGTAGCTGGAACTACAGGCATGTGCCACCAGGCGTGGCTAATTTTGTATTTTTGGTAGAGATGGGGTTTCTCCATATTGCTCAGGCTGGTCTGGAACTCCTGATCTTAAGTGATCCACCCACCTTAGCCTCTTAAAGTGCTAGGATTACAGGTGTGAGCCACTGCACCTGGATGATTCTTGTTTTTTTTATTTATCTCTTTTGAAAAAGAGTTTCACTCTTGTTACCCAGGCTGGAGTGCAATGGCGCGATCTCGGCTCACCGCAACCTCCGCCTCCTGGGTTCAGGCAATTCTCCTGCCTCAGCCTCCTGAGTAGCTGGGATTACAGGCATGCGCCACCATGCCCAGCTAATTTTTTGTATTTTTAGTAGAGACGGGGTTTCACCATGTTGACCAGGATGGTCTCGATCTATTGACCTCGCGATCCACCCGCCTCGGCCTCCCAAAGTGCTGGGATTACAGGCGTGAGCCACCGCGCCTGGCCGATTTTTGTGTTTTTAATAGAGACAGGCTTTCACCGTGTTGGCCAGGATGGTCTCAATCTTTTTACCCTGTGATCTGCCCACCTCAGCCTCCCAAAGTGCTGAGATTACAGGTGTGAGCCACGGTGCCTGGCCAATGTTGTTTCTTTTTAATTACCACTTCCAGTGTCCCTCCCTGCATTCATGACATTTGTTTTTATTCAAACATAGCATCTTGCCACATTTTAGACATTGGATTTTCAGGGCACTCAAAAATGAATTTTTTTCATTTAATTTCTGAGTGGGTCACAAGTAATTTGTTGAGCTTTCTGGTAGCTATATGAGCAGTGATGTGCTTAGTTTCAAGGTGTCTTTTTTGTCTTTGAAAATAACTACAGGCTGGGCACAGTGGCTCATGTCTTTAATCTCAGCACTTTGAGAACCCGAGGTGAGAGGACTGCTTGAGCCCAGGAGTTTGACACCAGGCTAGGCCACATAGCAAGACCTCACATCTACAGAGAAATAAAGAAATTAGGCCGGGTGCAGTGGCCCAAGCCTGTAATCTCAGCACTTTGGGAGGCTGAGGTGAGTGGATCATGAGGTCAGGAGTTCAAGGCCAGCCTGGCCAACGTGGTGAAATCCCATCTCTACTAGAAATACAAAATATTAGCCAGGCGTGGTGGTGGGCACCTGTAATCCCAGCTACTTGGGAGGCTGAGACACAAGAATCGCTTGAACTAAGGAGGCAGAAGTTGCAGTGAGCCGAGATGGCGCCACTGCACTCCAGCCTGGGTGACAGAATGAGACTATCTCAAAAAAAATAAAAGCAAGTTTAAATTAAAAAAAAAAAAGAATTCCAGAGAGAGTTGTATGATTTCACAATGAATACTTTAAAGCCCCTTCATAAAATACTCAAAGGATCAACTCACTCATTTTGCCTCAGGTGTTTTTGTTGCTATAAACAAGAGCTACTTTTCCATTTACACTTAGCTCAGAGATGACCTTGCATTCAGGCAGTGTAGTCTGTAGAGCTGGTTTTGGGTTACTTGCAAGGAATATGGTATTTAGGGTAATAAGTGATACTCAACCCAAACTTGCTTCTCTAAAGAAAGTCAGAATTGTCGTGTTGAATCAGACCCGTGACTTAGAATGACCCTGAAAGATGTATTGTGGATGATTATAATTATCCTCTCTGATAAATTCTCAGAAGGCTAGAGAAGCAGCCAAAACATTCCTCTTGCGTGCTAAGGTATGGTATGGGTAAAGAGTAAAATATGAGTTACTGTTGAGGAAGATATTAATGAAGAAGTTAGTCAACCACCTATTCAGAATGTTGTAGAGGGGACTTTCCTTAGGGTTGAAAGTTGAAATTAGAAGCATTCTTCTAAATCTGTTTCTTTAGTCATTTAATAATCCATTATTTTGCCTCAGGTATTACAGGTTGAGTGTCCCTAATCTGAAAATCTGAAACCTCAAATCTCCAGAATCTGAAACTTTTTGAGCCAACATGATGACATAAGTGAAAAATCCCACAGATTAGTAGTTAATATAGACTCTTTCGTGCACAAAATTATTTTTATTATTATTTGAGACTGAGTTTCTTTCTTGTTACCCAGGCTGGAGTGCAATGGTGAGATTTCAGCTCACCAAAACCTCCGCCTCCCGGGTTCAAGCAACTCTCCTGCCTCAGCCTCCAAAATAGCTGGGATTACAGGCATGCGCCACTACGCCCGACTAATTTTGTATTTTTAGTAGAGATGGGGTTTCTCCATGTTGGTTAGGCTGGTCTCCAACTCCTGACCTCAGGTGATTTGCCTGCCTTGGCCTCCCAAAGTGCTGGGACTACAGGTGTGAGC